CTACCGCCGGGCGGAGGGCGGGGGTCGGTCACTGCGGCAGCCGGTTTCTCTGGCCCTCTGTGCGCGGCTTGCATGCCCTGCGTGGGGGCGAGGGGTGAGCTTACCTAGTTAGGTTAGCCGCCTGCGTCCACCCCATCTGTGTCTGCGATCGCCGGTCCCCCCAGCTGGACATCATTTCACATCGCAGGGCGGCTTTCCCGTGGGTGGAGGTGTCAGAGGGAGGGGCGCGCAGGCAGATGGAGGGGATGCCTGCACAGTGTGTTTGGAATTAAAGTGGTGGAAGCAGGGGCATAATTGAGGGCTCACCGTTCTTTCCTGACAGTTCTGGGAGGTGATCAGTGATGAACATGGCATCGACCCCACCGGCACCTACCATGGGGACAGCGACCTGCAGCTGGACCGCATCTCCGTGTATTACAATGAAGCCACAGGTGAGGGGAGGAGCCGGGAAGATCAGGCGCCATCTCCTCCTCCTGGCGTCTCTTTCCATTCCTAGGGAACCCTTAACTCCTTTGAATGAATCTATCCTTTTCCTTTGTAAACCTTCCTCTGTGTAATTTCTCACCATGGGGATCAAAGACTCTGCTGTCACTTAGTAGCAGCCCCTGGAATCACACGTTTGGGTCCCTGGCTGTCATCCAGCCCCAATTTATTTACCTTCTGCCAATGTTCATTCCTCTACTTTTCTTCCCTGAAGGTGGGAAATATGTCCCTCGTGCTATCTTGGTGGATCTAGAACCAGGTACCATGGACTCTGTTCGCTCTGGTCCTTTTGGCCAGATCTTCAGACCAGACAACTTTGTTTTTGGTAAGTTATACAGATACATGCAGATGGCATCATATTCCATTTATTTGGGTGCAAGAGGGCAGGAAGAGTTAGGAAATGATTATTGTGCTGGAGAGCTTTTATAGGGCCATGTTCTGAGAGCTAATGGAGGGTGGGGGGTGGCTGCCGCACTTGGTAAACTACTAGGGACATATATCACAGGTGAGGGAGAAAAAAATAGTCCCAGAGGCATTATCTCAAGAGGTGTGAGGTGAAGATGTGATGTGCATGTAATGCACTTTACTAATCAAGCTTGCCTCCTGGCCCCATTCCAGGTCAGTCTGGGGCCGGGAACAACTGGGCCAAGGGCCACTATACAGAGGGGGCTGAGCTGGTCGACTCGGTCCTGGACGTGGTGCGGAAGGAGGCTGAGAGCTGCGACTGCCTGCAGGGCTTCCAGCTGACCCACTCGCTGGGCGGGGGCACAGGCTCTGGAATGGGCACCTTGCTCATCAGCAAGATCCGTGAAGAATACCCCGACCGCATCATGAACACCTTCAGCGTGGTGCCTTCGCCCAAAGTGTCCGACACGGTGGTGGAGCCCTACAACGCCACCCTCTCTGTCCATCAGTTGGTAGAGAACACTGATGAGACCTACTGCATCGACAACGAGGCCCTCTACGACATCTGCTTCCGCACCCTGAAACTGACCACACCAACCTATGGGGACCTGAACCACCTTGTCTCGGCCACCATGAGCGGGGTCACCACCTGCCTCCGCTTCCCTGGCCAGCTCAACGCTGACCTGCGCAAGCTGGCCGTCAACATGGTGCCCTTCCCCCGCCTGCACTTCTTCATGCCCGGCTTCGCGCCGCTGACCAGCCGGGGCAGCCAGCAGTACCGCGCCCTCACTGTACCCGAACTCACCCAGCAGGTATTTGATGCCAAGAACATGATGGCTGCCTGCGACCCCCGCCACGGTCGCTACCTCACCGTGGCTGCTGTCTTCCGTGGGCGGATGTCCATGAAGGAGGTGGACGAGCAGATGCTCAATGTGCAGAACAAGAACAGCAGCTACTTTGTGGAGTGGATCCCCAACAACGTCAAGACAGCTGTCTGTGACATCCCGCCCCGGGGGCTGAAGATGGCGGTCACCTTCATCGGCAACAGCACGGCCATCCAGGAGCTGTTCAAGCGCATCTCGGAGCAGTTCACGGCCATGTTCCGGCGCAAGGCCTTCCTGCACTGGTACACGGGCGAGGGCATGGACGAGATGGAGTTCACCGAGGCCGAGAGCAACATGAACGACCTGGTGTCTGAGTACCAGCAGTACCAGGACGCCACGGCCGAGGAGGAGGAGGATTTTGGTGAGGAGGCCGAAGAGGAGGCCTGAGGCCGCGCCTGCACTCCGCTTCTCCGCTCCCTCAGCCTTTTTCCTCAGCTGCCCCTTTCGTCTCCCTCAGAATTTGCATTTTTGCCTTTTTTTCTTTCTTTTAGGGGTGTTCTAGAACAATGCCTGGCACATAATAGGGCTCAATAAATATTCATTGTTTCTTGAATGTCTCCTCTCTTGTTCCACACTGGGAAATCTATATTTCTGGCATTCTGCTGGGTAACTTTTATTTCCTTCTGGTGCCTATTTCCTCCTATCCAGTTAAATTTTTTTATATATATACACACACAGGAGGGGTCCCTAGGCCTGGCCGGTGGGGGTGTGAGGGTGGGGGAAGGGACCGTGGGAGTGTGGCTGTGGGACTGCACTGACCATCAGGGGGCAGCAGCGTCTGCCTGCTGGTGGTCAGTGTGCGTCATAGCGTTCGGTTGACCGGTTGTAACAGTGGCTTAGGCTTTTATATATATAGATTTTAAAAATGGTTTTTTAGAGAAAGTGAGAAACATTGATGTGAGGACATAACATGGATCAGCTGACTCCTGCATACCCCCTATCAGGGATTGAGCTTGTGCTCGACCTCAAATCAAACCAGCAACCCTTCCATGCATGGGGTGATGCCCAACCAGCCGAGCCACACCAGCCAGGGCCCAGTTACTATTTTCCTGTTTTCAGCATAATTATCCAAGAAAGCTGGATGTCATCCAGGTCCCCCTCAGACCTGTACTGAAAACACCCCCCAAGCCCGCAGGCAGCCATGGGAAAGAACCACGCTAACCAGCCAGCTGAGGTTCCTATGAAGAGTGGGTGGCGTTCACCCCGTTTTGGAGAATGGGATTCAGGTTGTTGGAGCCCTAGTTTCCAGGTATGTGTTCCTGCTCCACCTTTAGCTTTGGGGGAGGCGTTAACAGTATCAGCTCCATTGTCAGTCATGAGCTGTTCCCTTTGCGGCGTCTGCCCCACTCCATCCAGTAGGATCCTTCCCTCTTCCACTTTACCTCCACCTCACATCGGATCCCTTCCTTCCTCCGCATGGAGAAGGGGTTCCAGGGAGAACCAGGACCCCTCTGTCCCTAAGCCTCCTGAAAGGTCCTCCCCATCACCGGTTCTTACCCAAAGAGGAGTATCAGTCCGTGTATGAAAGGTACACACTGTCGTCTAGATGTTGGAGTCATTCCCCGAGGAGAGGGGACAGGACACCTTTTGTCTTTTGGTAACATTTCTTTTGTTATTGCCCACCCCCTCCCCCACATACACACCTTTGGTTTTGTCCTATCCACACTTAAAATTTGTTGCGTTGAACTATTTTTTCATATTGAAAAAAATGACATTGCCCCCAAAGCCAAAAATACATGGGAATTTGAAAAAATATTTGCAAGACGTGTGCTCATTTAGCTGACTGGTTCACTTACACATGTATTCTGTTCTCCGCGAATGGGTGAGAAAATCCTTAATTGACCCTCAGGTCTTCATCCCTGGTACCCAACCCCACCCCCGGCAGTCTTAACTAGAGTGGGCATAAGCGCACATACTCGGGCAACACGTAGGAATTGAAATGGACTGAACCAAAACCAGGTTGGATCCCAGCAGTCTCAGCTGCTCCAGAAGAAGCATGAATGAGTTAGAACCGTGGTCGGCAAACTCATTAGTCAACAGAGCCAAATATCAACAGCACTTCTTCAAAATAGACTCGCCCAGGCCCAAAACCGCCTTCTGCGCATGGGCCACGAAGTTTCAATCGCACTGTACGCACGCCCGCACGTGGTATTTTGTGGAAGAGCCACACTCAAGGGGCCAAAGAGCCGCATGTGGCTCGAGAGCCGCGGTTTGCCGACCACTGAGTTAGAAGGCCACTGCTGCCCATCCTCCGCGCACAGCACCCAGGATTCCTCGGGTCGTATCTGCAACCAGGTGGGTTTTCTCAGACAACCTAAGATGAAGGTAACGAGCATGGGATGCCACCCATGGGCCTATTCTAAACACTGCTGCTCTCTTATGTTCTTTTGTTGAAGTTTTTATTGATTCCTAGAGAGAAAGGAAGGGAGAGGGAGAAACATCCTTGTGAGAGTGGAACATGGATCGGCTCCTGCGCGCCATCCTGGGCTGTGCCCCGGGGATGCACGCGGCGACCTCTGGGCGCACGGGTTGACACGGAACCAGCCGAGCCACTCTGGCTGCGCACTATCTCATACTTTTAAGTTGCACAAAATAAGTCTCAAAGTTACCTGGAAATTTAAGTCCATTTCCCTTGGCCAATTTTCAGTAATTCTAGGGACTAATGCAATTCTTACATTCCTTCCATAGCACATGCTTTCTGACTAAAGCAGTGGTTGGCAAACTCATTAGTCAACAGAGCCAAATATCAACAGTACGATTGAAATTTCTTTTGAGAGCCAAATTTTTTAAACTTAAACTATATAGGTAGGTACATTGTTATTAACTTCATTAGGGTTCTACTAAGCTGGCCTTTGCTAAAAAACGTCCTCAATTTGATTGAGGTACGTTCGCTGAGGTTGCCCCCTTCCAACTCTCCCATCCACACTCGTCTTGTATACATCTAAAAAAATGTTTCATTTTATAATAATAAAGCCACCAACACAAAATAATTACAATTCTTAAATTGATGACAAAAATACCTGTAGGATTTGCATCTGGTTGGAAAAATACAGGTAACTTTATGCTTCGAGTAGGTACTTTTGTCAACTGCGCGTGATTTGCGGACGCGACTAGCACTAACCACTGCACAATGAGACTACTGACTGACTGGCTCACTCAACTCGTGCATGAATCGTGCGCGCCTCCCCTGCGCTGTGTATCCCGCGGCCCACCTGTGCCGTGTCTCCCGTCGCCCGACCGACCGACACCCCCCACTTCTTCTAACGCCACTTCTTCAAATAGACTCGCCCAGGCCGAAAACCGACTTCTGCGCATGGGCCATGAAGTTTCAATCGCACTGTACATGCACACCCGCACGTAGTATTTTGTGGAAGAGCCACACTCAAGGGGCCAAAGAGCCACATGTGGCTCGAGAGCCACGGTTTGCCGACCACTGGACTAAACCAAGATTTTTGGGGGGAGTTAATTCCACAACCCCTCAGTGTACAAGTAACTTTCTCCCATTCTAAAAAGCCCACTGGAAGGAAGCAAGCTGTGTTCTAACATTCACTTCAAGTGAGTTCTGTTTTACCGTCACTGTTCACAAGTGTCAAGGCTTGACAGCGATTTATCCGGCAAGTTGAGAACCTGCAGCTACCCCTCAGTCTTGATCAGAAAACAATTCTGGGCCGAAACCGGTTTGGCTCAGTGGATAGAGCGTCGGCCTGCGGACTGAAAGGTCCCAGGTTCGATTCCGGTCAAGGGCATGTACCTGGGTTGCGGGCACGTCCCCAATAGGAGATGTGCAGGAGGCAGCTGGTCGATGTTTCTCTCTCATCGATGTTTCTAACTCTCTATCTCTCTCCCTTCTTCTCTGTAAAAAATCAATAAAATATATTTAAAAAAAAAAAGAAAACAATTCTGGGCCACAGGCTCAGTGTAGTTTAATTAGGGAACTAAACAAGCTGGGTGGAGTGGGATGATCGGACAGCTGGCACGGAACCCTTGGGGGACTGGCAGTCTTGGTGGTGTGGGCCCGGGCAGGGGGCAAGGCACGGCTATTTGGCAAGGAGAGGTGAGCGGTGGAATCCCACTGCCCAAGGACGTGCTCTGGGAGGCCAGCTGACATGCATGCAGCATGGGGATCGTTCAGGCAGCTTGAACCATGAGGCTAGGCATCGGCGAAGGTTGAGGGCTCAGGCAGTTCGCAAAGGCTTGTGGTTCACCTGGTAAAAAAGACGACAGTGGGTGACACGGGAACTTCCCTCACGCTCCATTTGGAGGAATGCACACCCAGAATTTTTCTAGTTTTTTCTTTTTCCCCAGTTACAGTTTACATCCAATATCATCTGCATGAGTTCCAGGCAGATGGCACAGTGAGGGGTCTGCTAGCTTTCCGGCAGCCTACCTCACCCCCTCGCCCCGCAGGGACTTACTGAACGGGTGTGGGAGGGGCCAGAGCGTGGCTCGAAGACCCAACCCTCCACTGCGGGCCTCCAGGAGGCTCCGAGGCACCCCCGGAAGTGGTCCGATGCTTTTCCTTATACATGAACTTCTCTGTTTAACACACTCGTATATGGCACCTACTACGTACCAGGCAGTGCTCTAAACACTGCAAATACAGTAGGTCCTCGGGTGACGTCGGAGATCCGTTCCAACGGTGCGACTTTTCGCCGTCAGTCGGAACCCACCTACGTAAGCACCTACCTCGCTCACATGGAGCTCATACACAGCAGTAATGAGTGAAACAGCAAAAAAAAAATTAAAAGATAACAATTCCTGACCTTTACTTGTGCTAAATAATAAAAAACATAAAGCACATATGTACATACGTCGAAATGATGGAACTTTTTTTTTATAAATAAATGGGAGATGGCGACATAACCACGAAACGACATACGTCTAGTCCGACGTAACCCGAGGACTGTCTGTATTACGCATTTAATCCCTGTAACAATTCAACAGGTAGTTGCTATTATTAAGCTGTGAGGAGACATGCACAGAAGTTGAGAACGTCTCCGATCACGGCACGCACTAGGATTTGCACCCCAGCAGGTTTCAGAGCCGCTCTCTGACCTCTACCATAACCTCCAAGTGAGTCAACAGGCCGAGAAAAGCAGTGATATGCCTTGGAATTAACTGTCAACAGACTCCCAGCTCCTGGTGCTGGACAGGGGCTGGGCTGGAAGCTGGCTCCCCAGCTGCATGACGTGGGCTACGTTACTAACACGTTGGCGTTCAGCTTCTCTACTTTGTAAAACACTACGTACCTCAGGGGCAGTTCCATTAAAACATTCTTTTATAAAAAAAAATGTACGTCGAAGCTGAGCACTGGCACAAAGAGAGCACTAATACACGTCCACGTGCAGGGTGCACGGCAGGGCCGGAGCCTCACCTGGGAGATGCTGACGCCCGTGAGTCTCTCCACGCTCTCCGGCAGGCGGCTCAGGATGTCCAGTACTTCCCCCGTCACCTTGGCCGCTCCCACGGCCCCACTCCCACTCGACACCAGTGTGATCTTTTTGGTCGAGGTCAAGGGACCACTGATCTCCTCTGCCACCTGTGGGCGAGCCG